TTATTTCAAGTCCTATTTACTCTATGACTTCTGTGGCAGGTCCTATCAGTATACAAGAAATGTATTGGAAGTTTGAAATGTGATTTGCTATGTAACTTTGTTTGAAAGAATTTAATTCATATTGATTTATGATTACAAAGACATTGTCTATTCTGATTTAGTACCTTTCAATTAAAGGTAGATGATGTGCCAAAATCTTATTTAGGAAGGTGTAATCCTCTATTAGAAAGTTTTTTTAATATTAATATTTTTGGATTAGGAAGCTGTAGGTTATGATGTTACGTTTTAGGGCTTTATAAGTCAGTGTTGTTAAATGACATTTGTCGTGGTGTCATGGTGGATTATGATGGCATATTTCTCGCTCTAAAAAAGAGAACACAAGAAAATGATTTTAGGCTTGTTAAGGTTCCAACATAAAACCAATTGGCAATATGTGGAGTAGCCTAACATGTATTTAAACCATACCAAATGACATGAGGTAGGCGATGTGGGACTTTCAACACACCCCCTCCAACGAAGCCTGCCGGACCAGGCAAAGGGTTTTTGACCCAACTAAAGGGCAACTTTTGGCCCATGACAATAACCGGAAAGATGTTAGGCTTTGGCTCTGATACCATGTTAAGGTTCCAACATATTGCCAATTGGTTTTATGTTGGAACCTTAACAAGGCTCTAAAAAGTTGTTCTTTATTTTCCTATTATTTATTTCAAGTTGGTATCAGAGCGGGTTGATCCCGCTCTGCCTGTCTCTTAATTTTTCTCCGGCGTTAATCGCTGCTCGCCGCCGTCCATAGCCGGCGCCGTCATTCTCCGGTGCCATTTCTCTCTCTAACACTTGGGTTAAGATCACCTCGAGGAGTGCGACCCAACCCCAGTGGTCGCTTCCTCCGTCTCTGCCTCACGCGCTGCCATGCGCCGCCTTCGTCCGTGGCTTCCTCCGCGCATGAGCTTCACGAGTGCCCTCCTGGTGGTTGTTTTGCTCCAGACCACCACCTCCGTATTTGTTTTTAATTTTTTGTATTTAAACATTCATATTTATTTATAGGTTCACACAAAAAGAAGAAACCGTTTGCACCAGAAAAAGATGAATGACTTGGTTTATGTCATGTACAACTTGAAGCTAAAAAATAAACAAGATAGGAAAACAATTGCTCTCCCATTTGATGATATTGAGTCTGATGATGAATGAATAACAGAAGATGGTGATAATGTTGGGATTGAGCCAGTTCAAGGTGAAGGTGATGAGGAAAATGTTGACATAGCTGAACTAAGTTCACTTGATCCTACTTTAGAGCCAATTGATCTTGATAATATAGTGTTTGATGCCAATGTTGATGATGCAGTCCGAGTAAGAGTCCGAGTAAGAGGTTGACGGTGATGGAGAAGATGATGATGAAGATGAAAAGGATGATGATGTTGGAGATGATATAATTAGAGGATTGGAGCCATAAAGTTGAAGTTATTTATGTTTTGGTGATTTGTATTAACTTATGTATTTGGTGTAATTTGAACTTATATAACAATCATGTGTGTTGAACCAAGTTATTTTAGAATTATTGAAGTATTGTTCTTTATTTTCATTAATTGTGATGATGAAATTCTGAATTTGTATTATTATATAGAATTTTTCATATGAAGTAGACTCTTACGAGTCTACGAGTCGGGTTTACGAGTTGAGTCTACGAAGCTCTCACGAGTCAACGTAGACTCTCGAGTTTGATAATCTTGCTCTCAGATATATGGACTTGATTATTGTGATACTTTTTCTCCTGTAGCCAAAATGACCACTGTCCGCTTGTTCCTTGCCATGGCCACCATTCATCATTGGCCTCTTCATCAATTGGATATTAAAAATACTTTTTTGCACGGTAACTTAGAAGAAGTTTACATGGAGCAACCTCCTGGATTTGTTGCTTAGGGGGAGTCTGGTTTGGTTTGTAAATTACGTCGATCTCTGTATGGCCTAAAACAGTCTCCATGTGCTTGGTTTGGGAAATTCAGCTCTATTGTTCAAGCTTTTGGATTAAAATGCAGCGGAGCAGATCATTCAGTGTTTTATTGTCACACTGCCCCTGACAAACATGTTTATTTAATTGTGTATGTTGGTGATATTGTCATCACAGGGAATGATGCTGCTAGAATATCTCAACTAAAAGAGCACTTGTGTAGTCATTTTCAGACCAAGGATCTTGGAAATCTAAAATATTTCTTGGATATTGAAGTAGCTCAATCAAGAGAAGGTGTTGTCATCTCTCAAAGGAAGTATGCTCTAGATATTCTAAAAGAGACAGGTATGATTGAATGCAAACCTGTGGATAGTCTTATGGATCCAAATTTGAAGTTAATGGCAGGACAGGGTGAAACTTTCTCTGACCCAGAAAGATATAGAAGACTGGTTGGGAAACTTATTTATTTGACTATTACTAGACCTGATTTGTCTTTTGCAGTTGGTGTTGTCAGCCAATTTATGCAAGCTCCTTGTGTGGATTATTGAAATGCTATCATTCGAATCCTAAGATACCTTAAAAGAGCTCCAGGACAAGGTTTGTTATATGAAGATAAGGGAAATACCCAAATTTTTGGGTACTGTGATGCTAGTTGGGCTGGATCTCTTCTGGATAGGCGTTCCACTACATGCTATTGTGTTTTCTATGGAGGTAATATCATTTCATGGAAAAGCAAAAAGCAAAACGTTGTTGCCCGATCCTCTGCTGAAACTGAATATAGGGCAATGACATCTCTCACTTGTGAACTTGTATGGGTAAAACAATTCTTGCAAGAATTGAACTTCTGTGAGATTCAATCTATGAAGATGTATTGTGATAATCAAGTTGCTCTTCACATTGCTTCTAACCCAGTATTTCATGAGAGGACTAAGCATATTGAGATTGACTGTCACTTTATTCGGGAGAAGTTGTTGACTAAAGAAATTTGTACTGAGTTTGTTGGTTCCAATGATCAGCTTGCAGATGCATTAACAAAATCTTTGAGAGGACCGCGAATGGAATTCATTTGTTCCAAGTTTGGTACATTCAATTTGTATGCTCTTGCTTGAGGGGGAGTGTTGAGTATTTATTATATTAGTTGTATCTTGTTGAGCATTTATGAGATTAGTTGTATCTAACTATAGACCTAGTTCCTAGAATGCATCTGTTTATCTTCTCTAAGTTTAATCATTTCTCTTTATTAATTGTATCTCAGAATCTATATCTTTATCTCCTATAAATAAGAAAACACAAGAGAATGATTTCAAGCTTGATTTTCCTATTATTTATTCCTTATGTTTTGAAGGTGGAAACACCTTGTGAGGGACCCTGTGTTTGCAGTCCAACGTGGCCTAAAAACAAGACTTTCTATTTTATCCTTTATGTTTATTTCTTGAGTCCTACACTAGATAGGTTGCTTTGACTCACTGGACCTCAATGTTGTTAAATAACCATTATAGGTACTACAATGACACTATACTGTGGTGTTTTTGACCCCTCTGCCATTGGCTGTTTGTGAAGCGAAGCCAGCTATGGCGGTGCCATAGGTAGCTGTTCATATGGCATAACTTTGGCCTTCGGCCATTCACCATTGAAAACCTTACTGTACCTACTGTGTTACAGTATTGCATGTGAGTCAGTTACGGGTTGCACCTTTTGCATATGTTGATTATTTTCTGTTATGAAATTTCATTAAATGAATATGGAATCTAAAATAAAAATGTCAATTAAATCTCTTTTTTTCTTTTTAAATTTCAAAACATAATCAGGAAATTGGGTAGAAAAATAAATGGAACAGTAGAATGACTACTTCTCTTTGTTTTCATTTTGTGCAGATATTGGAGTTCTAGGCTTGGAACTGAAAGACAAAGGCTTCTGAGTGGTTTTACACAGAAAGATGTTATATGTATGTGTCTACCCTTGTAAATGAAGCCTACTTATGTTATACATCACTTTCGATTTCTTTTTATTATTGTCTTTTTCATAATGGAATCTAGCTGGTCAGAGTAATCTAATGTCTAATTCTGGTGAGTGATGTCAATTGAAAACATTTTGATTTGTTTGCTGTGAGTGGGAGTTTGAAAATAAAAACAATTAGAAATTATAATATATGAAAATATATTATCATAGACTGAATCTGATCATATTTTATATTATCCTTTAGGATTACTTTTCCTATTTTCCTTTATCTTTTGGATTGGTTTCCACGTTTCTTTGTCTCAGATTTGTTTCCCTGTTTAGTTAGAAGGACTATGCTTAGTATAAGTAAAGGTTAGTGCTGTAGATGTATGCATAAGATTGATGTAAAATGCTTGAAAATAGAATATTATCTGATGGGTTTTTTAAGCTGTTTCACAACCTTTTGGTTTTGGTTCAAAAAGTGCTCATTCATATCATTTTAGTCATTGGTGGCCACATAATTTATAGTTTATCTGCATCTTGTCCATTAGAGTTAGTTTTTTTGTTTGTATGATATCTGCCCGTATTAAATGATGGAAGAAGTGTATTTTAATTATCCTGATATTATGGGTAAGAACATCAAATGCCTACATACAGAATCTAGAAGCAAGTACTTCATCATTGAAGTGATTCTTTTCGTAGCTTTCCAAAGATTTTAATGCATGTGCATGTCACCTGTTGGATAGTATTATAGAGAAACTACTTGGAAATCCCTGAGACATTGGGATATACAAGGCTGACCAGGGAAAAGAAAAATTTAAGAGGCTTGTCAAGACTAGGTTGTTTTCCCTTAATGTTTTCTTGATTTATGTAATCAATGCCAAGTCTGGACTAATTTCATTTAGAAGTTATTCTGTCAGATTTGAATAATGAACACATCCTTCCTCCTTGCAATAGTATAGAATGGTCTTCTTGATGTTATTCATGATGAAAAAATATTCAAGGGTTGCTTACACATGTATCATCACTGACAGGTGATGTTTTCGCTGGAGTTGGTCCTTTAGCCATATCTGCCGCAAGGATAGTTAAACGTGTTTTTGCTAATGACTTAAATCCCTATGCAGTTGAGTATCTGGAAAGAAATAGTGTTCTAAATAAACTTGAGAAGAAGATTAAGGTATGATTGCTTGTTGAGTGACTATTTTCTTTAAGTTCTTTTATGAACTTTTACACATGAAAAGATAATAATGAAAAAAAAGTATGTTGGAATTTAAAAGTACTGCGACTTATTGTTTTCCTCAACATTTTTGGACTTCTGTAGATTTTTTAAGCTTAAGAAGAATGGACACAGAACATGCACGGAAACTGTAAAGTATAAAATATCCCATTAGGATTTGAAATATTGCATCGTGTTTGTCATATGTGTCTTCAGGCACTACTGCTTTCTTGAAGTTTTCACGTGAGTGACTAGTGGTTATAAGGATGTGCTGTATATATTTTAATGTTTTTTCATGAATTGATGAAAAACCCTGGCAGGAGTTGCATTTTAATCTGCATTTGGCAGCACTACTTTTCTTGTTGAACATTTCTGTCAACTAAGGTCATTGTTTGTTGCTCTAGGTCTTCAACATGGATGGAAGAAGGCTCATTAAGTCTCTGTATGCCAGTGATATATCGCAGTCCATCACACAAGTGATCATGAACTTACCAAGTGAAGCTGCAGAATTTCTAGGTTGCCTTTCTTGACAAAATCTCTATATCTGTATAATATTTTTTGTGACCTGTCCAATTTTTTATCCACCCCACACTTCTTTTCTGCATGATACAATTAAAAATGTGTTGAACTTTCTTAATTTTTCCTCGAGCATGGTTGATAGTTATGGAGTGTGGGGTGAATGGGGGGCATACTGTTTTTATCTTGTTGTTTGGACTATGTTTCAAGTAGTTCAGAGTAGAGTGAGGGTTGCAATGGTCTGCTGCGTACATCATATATAAATATATTCCTTTATTGAGAGGAATTATCAAACTTCAAAATGCAGCATGTCTCAATAAGTTAACGCCTTGTATAAAAGAATATGAATTCAATTTAACTACAGATCATGGGTCAAAATATTCCTAAAGGAGGTGGGAATAAAAGCATTAACACTTATACCTATAATACTCCATATTTTCTCTTGTCATGAAAATCATTACTATATAATTGTTAAATAATGGCTTGGTCAGTGATGTGCTGTTTGTCGATGTATTATTGGAGAATTATTTTGTCTCTAAATGAGATTAGTCACTAGAGTTGTCATAAATTTATTATGAAGCCAACATATGCCATGATTAGTAGAGTTGTGGGTGTCAAAGTGAGAATCGGCTCATACGGGTTGATTCACTACAGGCTGATTTGAAAATATGAGTTCAATTCGGCTCACTTTATGACGAGTTAAAAATTTTACAACTCAGCTTAACCCACTATGGATTGGTGGGTTTGGTGGGTTGGCTTATTAACCCACATTTATTATTTTGTTATTCAATTTTATTTTCTAATAAACACGACTAAATCGGGACTAAAACACAATAGCGTTATGATACAACAAACGCTGTGACGCGATTGAAATACGATAAATGCTATAGTGCAATTGAAGGACAACGACATGGTGGCACAATGAATTCAATGGTGTAGCGAACGCGATGACACAACAAATTTTATGGTGCAACTAAAATGCAGAACTGAAATGCTGTGGTGCGGTGATATGACAAATATTGTGACACAACTACTTAACATTAAGAAACAGGACAATATAGTTTGGAGGGCTTAATCACCCCTTACTCATTTTCTATTTATATTGAAAAGTCTTATACAAGATAGCATAGAAGATCTAAGGTCGTATTAGACACCTAGGTATAAAAATAGGTACAACTGTAGAACAATTGGTAGATGTTTTCAACATATTACCCCTACTCAGACTTAATGATTACACATAGATTTAATAAATATTCTAACACCCCCCAAGCTGGAGCATACAAATTGTATGTACCAAGGTTGAAACAAATGAACTCAATCCAAGGTCCTCTTAAGGACTTGGTCAACATATTTGCAAGTTGGTCATTTGATCCAACAAACTCAATACAAATTTCTTTTGACAATAATTTTTTCCGAACAAAATGACAGTTAATTTCTATATGTTTGGTCCTTTCATGAAATACTGGATTTGACGCGATGTGGAGAGCAACTTGGTTATCACAATGCATTTTTATGGTCTAGACTTCACAAAAATTAAACTCTCAAAGAAATTGTTTTATCCATATAAGTTCACAAGTAAGAGATGTCATTGTCCTGTGTTCAGCTTCAACAGTTGATCTGGTCCCTACATTTTGCTTCTTATTTTTCGATGAGATAATATTTCTTCCAAGGAAAACACAATATCCCGTAGTAGAGCGTCTATCAGTTGGGATCCTGCCCAATCAACATCATAGTATCCGGAGACTTGGACATTTCCTTTATCTTCAAATAGTAAACCTTGTCTTGGAGCTTTTTTGAGGTACCTTAAAATATGAATGATGACATTCCAATGGCCAATACATGGGGCTTGCATGAACTGACTAACCACTCCAACTACAAAAGATAGATTAGGCCTCGTAATAGGAAGATAAATTAGTTTTTCAACGAGCCGCCTATATCTTTTTGGATCAGGGAATGATTCACCTTCTTCCGTCATTAGTTTTTGATTTTGGTCCATAGGATTATCTAATGGCCTACAATCAAGCATACTTGTCTCTTGTAGGATATCACGAGCGTACTTCCTCTGAGGGATATCAACTCCATCTTTTGACTGAGCTACCTCAATGCCCAAAAAATATTTAAGACTCCTAAGATTCTTGCTTTGAAAATGTTTGCACAAGTACTCCTTCAATTGAGATATTTCGGTCACACCATTTCCTGCAATGACTATATCATCAACATAGACTGTTAGGTAAATGCATTTCTTAAGGTGGGTGTTACAATAAAAAACTGAATTATATGCTTCATTGCATTTTAGTCCAAATTTTTGAACAACTGAGTTGAATTTACCAAACTAAGCATGTGGTGATTGTTTGAAGCCATAGAGAGAGCGGCGCAACTTACAAACCTTACTAGACTTACCCTGAGTAACGGACCTAGGAGGTTGCTCCATGTATACTTCTGCAAGGTCATTGTGTAGAAAGATATTTTTGATATCCAATTGATGAAGTGACCAATGACTAATTGCTGCCATGGCAAAAAAGAGGCGGATAGTAGTCATCTTGACCACTAGAGAGAAAGTATCACTATAATCGATGCCATAAATTTGAGTGTACCCTTTTGCAATTAATCGTTCCTTGAGACGATCAACTTCACCAATAGGATCAACTTTAATGGTATAAACCCATCGATATTCAACTTCCTTTTCTCCGAGTGGGAGGGAAACTAACTCCCAAGTATTATTCTGGTCAAGAGCCTGCATTTCTGCAATCATGGCTTGTCGTCATCCAGATGATTAAGTGCTTTTGTCATATATTTTGGGAATGGTAATATAAGACAATGAGGATAGAAAAGAACAATAGGAAGACGATAATCGATGATAACTAAAAAAATTATAAGTAGTATGTGAGTTTCTAGTGGAACAAGTACTTTTTCTAAGAGTAATGGGCCAGCCTGAATCTTTTTCATCAAGAGTCGTGGTATTGGGTGACAATGGAAAAGAATTTGAAGTAGAGGTTTCAGCTTGTTCTTGGAAAATGGGACTAGTTATTTGGGTCCCATGGATATCAATAGCAGAAGGACTTTGAGCAAGACTAGGATTAGCGGAGATACTGGAATTAGTGGACTCGACTAATAGTATAGGGAGGACCTGCTAAATGACATGCACATCTTGAACGGATAAAGAAAAATAAGGAGTCTGTTTAAAGAATGTAACATTAGTAGACATATAATACTTCTTGGTTTCAGGAGAATAACACTGATACCCTTTGAAGTTGAGAATAGCCCAAGACAACACATTTGATTATACAAGCAAACAACTTGTCCAATCCTGGAGACATGTCATAAACAAAACATACACAACCAAACACCTGGGGAGAAATGTGAAAGAGAGGATCATTTGGAAAAAGATAGAGAAAGAGACCTTATTATTGAGAGAGGAGGATGACATCTTGTTAATAAGAAAACATGCAGTTAGGATGACATTCCCCAATGATGGGCAAGAATATTTGCACCAAGCAATAGGGTACAATCAATCTCAACTAAGTGTTTATTTTTCCTTTTTGCTATACCATTTTCCTGTGGTGTGTGAGGACAAGTGAACTAATGTAATATACCATGCAAAGTCAAGGCTGCAGAAAAATTAGATGAGAAGTATTCTTTGACATTATCACTTTTTAAACTTTTGATTACTTGACTGAATTGGTTCTTGATTTCATTCAAAAAAGATGTGAAGATAGACAACAATTCAGTACGGTCTTTTATAAGATAAACCCAAGTACATCTTGAGTATTCATCAATGAATGTGACAATATTTAAGACGTGACTAGGTCCCCAAATATCAGAGTGATAATAGAGAAACTAGAATTACACCTTGTTTTAGACCTTTTAGGAAAGGTAGATCTAACATGTTTTACTAATTGACAGGACTTACATTCTAAGATCGGGAGACTACTAAGCTTGGGGACCATTTTTCTTAACTTTGACAAATGAGGATGACCTAATTGTTCAAGTAATAATTTAGGACTTGAGGCTGCAACACATGAAACATGTGGACTAGATCCAAAATGGTATAAACTTCTAGCTTCATATCCTTCTCCAATTCGTCTTCCTGAACCATGCTCCTGTATAATAAAAGACTTGTTATCAAAGGTTATTGAACAATTTAATGTTTTGGTTAACTGACTTAATGAAATTAAATTGAAGGGACAACTAGGGATAAAAAAAACACATTTTAAATTTAGGGAAGGAGATAAGGAGACTTGACCGACTCCCTTTGAGGAAACCTTAGAGCCATTTGCCAGGGTTATAAAATGATGTTTTTCTTGAAAAGAAAAGGATGAGAACAAAGAGGTATTACCGGAGATGTGATCAGAAGCACCTAAGTCAATTATCCATGAATTTTGACCTTCCATTATCCATGAATTTTGACCTTCCATGGATTGAGAAATTCAAGTTGTTGATATACTCGAAGTTTCAGATGTTTGTGCCAAGTTGTTATATTTTAACCTAACGTACTCTTGATATAGTGAATATGGAGTTGGTAGTTTCATCCTTAAAGACATTGACTGTTTTGGTAGGAAAACCATGCAAGGAGAAGTAGTTTTCTTGGGTGTGACCCATCCTTTTACAATATGTACACTGAGGACGCCCTCGACCACCACGTCCTCCACTAGTGCCACATTCTCCTTTTTCTCGTGTGGTCAAGCTATCTATGGAAGAGACCTCATGACTGGTAAGAAGTTAATCTCGGAGATGATCAAAGTATTGGCTCGGAGGATCATCACCATATAATATTTATCAAGTTTCTTTTTGATTTCATCCAAAGATTCTACTTTCAAGAACATCTTTAGCAATTCATCTACAAATTACGCTTCGGTCATGAAGGATACCATATCATAGTCAGTTTATTTGAGAGATTCAAGTCTATTGTCAGCATTATAGAGACGTTAAAATGTCTTGAACTTTATTCCAAAAACGGTGACAAGTTTTAAAGGCTTTAAGGGAAATCAAAATCCTCAGTTCCATAGTTTGCCATATCAGGGCATATAGTTGAAAATCAACTTGCTTCCATTGATAAGCCTTTTCAGGAGGCACATGACTTCCATCTTTATTAAGGTGGTCATGATGACCTTGGCTAAGGAACCATATTTCGACAGATACAACACAAGAAAGGTAATTTTTTCCATTTAGTTTCTTAGAAATAATGGAAGGACTTCCAGAGAATGAAACAACAGCTTTGGTAGTAATTTATGTTAATAGAGAGCCAAAAAACAACCAGGGTTGAGAGACCCCTAAGGTGACCTTTGTTAGGATGGCTTTTGGACTTCGCCAAAATGAAGTTTTGAGGGTCAGAACAGGAAGGGAAGGCTTTGGCGATACCCACGGAGGTGGCGCGACAACGTTCAGACGGGGAGAGGGAGGGCGGCGCGTGGGTGACACGCGCTTGATTGTAGCTGATTTTGACTAGGTACGTGACGACATGGGAGGGAACTGGCTTCCAAGATCGTTGGGTTGGCCATTGCTCGGAGAGGCGATCCAGATCCGATGGTCGCTGGAAGAAACTGTGACGGTGGATGGTGACGGACGGTGGCAGACGGTGACGGACGACAGCTCTGGAGATGATTGAGAGAGCAGTCGCTCTGATACCAACTTAACGTTAAGGAACAGGAAAATATAGTTTGGAAAGCTTAATCGCCCATCTTAATCATCTTCTATTTACATTGAAAAGTTTGATACAAGAGAACATAGAAGATTTAAAGGTCGCACTAGACATCTAGGTACAAAACTAGGTACCATAGTAGGACAACTGGTAGATGTTTCCAACACACTACCCCTTACTTAGACTTAATGATTACACATAGATTTAATAATTATTCTATACAACTAAAACTTGAGACTGAAATGTGATAAATGTTGTGACGTGATTGAAACGCTATGATATGATAAACGCAACGAACACGATGGCATAGTAGTGTGGTAGAAGGATGGCAAGCGGCTAGGTGCAACTACAAATGTAATAGTGCGATGAATCATTAATGATAAGTTTGAGTAAGAATCTGACTTATAATGGTGATATGGAGTAGAGGTAAGGATTATTATATTATTATAATTATTTTTAAAATTTAAAATGAATAATGGTTTGCGGGCCGATCCAACGTAATAAGCTCAAATCCGCTTAACCGTAGATTAAGAATCAGGTTAATTTTTAACCTATTATCAATAAAAATAAAAAAAATTAAACTTAATCCGGTTCGAACGAATCGAGTTGGCTCATGATCGATATTAACACCTCTAAATTGGGAGTTGCTCTAATCGGGCTGTCACAATTTTGTTAGTTGCTTTGTTTAGAAGTAAACAACTGTAATATCTAGATTTAATTTTTTTGTTTAGAAGTAAACAACTATAATATCTATATTTAATTTCTTAATATGTTTGTGTTCCTCTGCAGATGCATTTCGAGGAATATACAAAAATAGACCCAAGGATGGGGAATATACTTTTCCAAGGATCCATGTTTATGGATTCTCCAAAGCGCGAGATCCAGAATTTGATTTTCACGAGGTTGGTTGCTGCTAGGGCATTTGATTAGACATCGCTAGTCACTTTTATTACTGACTTTGCTGTTGTGCTTGTGTTGTGTGAACCTTGTTGTAAAGACAACATCTTAATAAGCCTCTTGTGATGCAGAGAATAAGAATTGCGCTGGTAGAAGTAGAAGTCAGCGTAGACATGCGACGGGTACGACTTGTTGCTCCTGGAAAATGGATGCTGTGCGCATCATTTATTCTCCCTAAAAGTGTAGCATTTGCTAATTCCACAATTGATACCTAAACAGTATTTTTTAGATGGCCATTCACGTAGTAAATTTTGTTTCGTTACATTACTCATCTAAATTGATATTGTATATATTCATGACATGAGTATTACTAATTGGTTGAGTCGTCAATTGATTATTGAAAATATATAAAAAAATAAATTTAATTTTCAAATATAATTAGTTAAAATAAAGTCTCTACCAAGGGATTTTTATGTGTCATTTTATATCTATATATATATACATATATATTTATTTATTTGAAATAAAAAATATTAAGACTATTTATTAACATTTATGAATTAAAAAGAATGCATTTTTATTCATTAATATTTATTTTAAGAATAAGTATTTAGAGATTTGTATTTATATTTATTTTTTAATCTAATAGTTAAGATAAATTATAGAGACGAAGAATAAATTTCCAATTTTTCGAATATTCTTACTTTCCAAATATTATTAAGTGAATATGAGAAGAAAGTGAGGTAAAATTTAACTATAAGATCTGCAATCTGAGTGTTGATCATCTCCATAAAATAAAATTGAGATACTTATGTTTAGGATTACGGAATGGACGTATTACTACCCCGAGTGAATTAAACAAAATATGTCCTTATCTAAGGTAGTGGCTTGTACCTCAAGAAGAATGAGGACACAGCAGAGTCTCAACAACCAATCTCAGCGAAAATAACAAGTTATTAAATTTGAATTTGAAGACCGAAATATCTTAAACTAAATCTGATTTTGAAGTTTCAGTCCACGAGAAGATCCTTTCATGTCATTGATGGTGGCTCTTGAATTTTCTCCCAGAAGTTACTTGTACAGCTGACGCTTAACTTGTTCATGCACAGGTTACGGGGTCCACTGCATCTCTATTCTCTTCTCTCTCATCTTTGGTGTGGCCCCATGCTGCTTGATATGCCTCCTCTCAACCCTAAATTGAAGTACAGGTTGGTACTCATTTAGTTTTTATTTATGATTTTGGATTTATCAAATGCCTTGTCTTTTAGCTTAGTGATAAGAAACTAACAATTACTGTTTGTGTAAGTATTGTGCCATAAATAAATTTAGGAAAGAAATGTGCTAAACTTACCTCCATTGTTGTTGGACCTGTGTGTGTACATAATGGGTCTTTACGATGTACATGTACGTAAGTGTATACGTATATGATCTGTAAAACTGTAATACGTATATGATCTGTGGTGTGGGTTTTTTTACTGGGAGTCTGGGGCATGTGCCAGACACATATTGCTTTTATGTCTGGGCCTTTTGTTTTGTAATTGTTTTGCTTTAGGCAGGACCAGCACAACTACCAGGTGACAGTGACATTTTCATGCATCCAAAAAACACGCCCTTTCTGTTCTGCAATGAATGCTCTCTCAAGCACATACTCCCTCAATTCTTTGATCCTGTGATCCCTTGCTGGTCCAGATAACACTAGCTAGCCAGCCCAGGCAGCACAAATGCTATTCTACGATCCTGTTCCTTTCATTAAAATCTTGTGTGATACAATGTACTATATATGTCCAACCCTATGTATTATGTTTGTACTCCCTGCCTAGCTAGTATGTGGTTGGTTGTGTGAGGGAGAGAAGTGTCCATGGGGGATGGTAGGTGAGGGCAGAATGGTAAACTGGGAGGGTGAAAGCAGAGCAAATCTCAGTTCAGATTGAGATCTAAATAATGATCTCTGTGGGGTGGTCCTTCCCTTGTGATTGTCTTATTGGTATGCATATGTGAGGGAAAGGGAAATGGGAGTTGTAGGGAGGGATCTCTTGCAATTTTGTACTAAAATGGATTGGTCCTTCACAAGTTGCATAAAGCCATAACCAACAGTTACTCTAACTGCTCCATTTCTTTATGGCAATCTCTACAAACAAACAATTTGTATTAGTTGCTTACCTCTCCCACTTCTCTCTCGTCCTCATTAAACCATCCCTTTTGTTGCTAAAAAACAACATGGGCAACCCTGATTTCAGAGGCTGGATTCCTCTATATTTATGAAATAAAGTATGGTTATGTGTTTAGCTCATACTCATCAAACCACTTCCTGCCCACTCCGTTTTCTTTTCATCCTTTTTCACATCAACACCACACACACTAACTAATAACTGGTTAGGATGATTTTTAGACTGTAGTGATCGTTAAATTAGTATAGTACTTCGCCGTTCATTAAGTCGTGATGTTTTTAGTCTTGTATTTTGTGTTTTAAAAAAATTATATCTATATATCTTGTTTTTAAAACTAATAGTTTTTGACGCGAAAAACAAAAGAAAAACAAAAGGTTATTGTACCGACAACATAGAAGCTTTATATAAAATCATGAAATTCTTATATTTTGTATCTTTTTTAAATTTTAAATATTAATTCCAGACAAACAAGCCAAAGTTTAATATTTGTTAAGGAATTAAAATTAATATTTAAGTTATTAGATAATTGGACATAAACATTAAATAATATATTAAATAATAGATGCTTAATTGATATTCTGGTTTTTACCGTTATTGTTATTTAACATATTGTTCTTATATTACAAAAATTTCAAAAATTGAACTCTTACATGTGTATTATGGTTGAAATTCTTATCATATAAAATTATTGCAAAAATGTTTCGACCGTTAAATATAATGTAAATTTAAATATTATGCAGTAATCAGGGAAAATATTAAATTATGTAATATTTTCGTATAAAAATATGATAAAATGAGAACAACTGCAGGGTAAATTTATTTAAAAGATTATTATGCATCTGTCAAGATTAAAACTTGGTAATAATGCATTATATATAAACCTTTATTCATTGGTAATGTTTTCGAATAAAATCAATTGTAGAAATATTGTTCTCATATCAAATCAGAATGCTACCAGTTTTATCATAACTTTGACCAAATTTTGACTAATATAACTGATTTTTGACTGTATTTCTACTGTACTAAATTTTGGAAGTTATTCACATTAAATTTTAGGTTTTAACATGTATACTTAAATAATCAAGCATGGTATGGTAGTTAAGAAATGAAGTATTCATGTTTATGTTTATAATAATTTGACATAAGTTGGTGATTATGTTCATCCCTGACACTGGGACAGAAAGAGGAGTAAATTATTTGAAAGTTAATAATAGTTATAAGAAGTGGTCCCCAGCTAGAAAAGGCAAATGAAGAAGAGGGAGTGATCCCAAACAAACAAATGCCAATGATTTTTCTTTTCTATGCAAATGAAGGGCACAATCTGCTTTCCAGGAACCCAAGAATCCACCTATGTCTGCTCAATCCCAGCAATGCCCTATCTCTCTCACACACCTGTCAATGCTCTCCCCTCTCTTCTCAGCCGCCTCTATTCTGTACCCACCTCCCTCCACGTGGCAAGAGGACCACCACCTTCTGCTGGGCCCTACCACACAAATAAATAGTGTTCCTCTCTTATACCACCTTGTATTGTATTGTATTGTATGTACATCAGATCAAAATAATCTTGCCTTGCTCACGCGGTTTGGGTTTTATGTCCCAAACACAAACCCTCCAAACCAATTCTTCGTTAAGATTTGCAATACTGGTTTCGTCTCATAGGATTTGTGTGTTTGTGTTTCACCTTTAATACTTATCTCTGAATACCCACAGCATTTTGGCGTGAATGTCAAAATTAATTGCAATATACTAGACATTGTTTAGTTAGTCAAAACTGTACTTCAATTCAATTAGCTCCAGTCATATTTTACTCTATATATTTTCATTTAGTTGCAGTAATTACACTCTTCTTTGCTCGTTGCTTGCATATTCATAAGAAGTATTTAAAAAAAAAATGTGTTATATTTTGAGATATTTATGAATGCTAAAAATATTTAGAAATTTTGTGTTTTATGTAGTGATTTGATTTGAATTCAGTTAATAATTAATTAGTTGAATATGGTTAAGTTTGAGGTGAAAAAACGTGAATTTACTGCAGTGTAATCATTAATTAATAACCGTTTAAAGATTTGGTTAATGATGAAATTATGGTTGTGATTTTATAAAATAAAAAAAAGGACATATAATCAACCTTTATTGTTTATATTAATCCAGTTTTTGGAGATTTGTTGATGAAAAAAAATAAATTTAAATTCTAACAAAATAATTATTAACACAACACTTTGATATCCATTAATTATGGATACGGATACAATTGTATGGAATGATTTTATAAATTCTATTGTAATGATAATTTCTCCCTAATTAAACAACTAAATCAATAATTTTGCATAATATTAAATAATCGATTTTTCTCATTATATATTATATAGATGGTAAGATTCTGCAGATTTCAGAAACTAAAAAAATACTTGACTATACAGAACAGACCATCACAGACTCATACTTAAAATATCGGTAAAACTAGGAGATAAGACTTACTATCTATTGGTCTGAATCACATGAACAATGGTAAAAGTAATGAAATAATAACAATAATAAAAAAAAGAAACAAACTAACCAATCAATAACTAAATGGGGACAATGATTTAAACTGCATACATGTCATGAAGATGTAGTTTGACTTTAATCTTAATCATACAATTTACAAAGGTGTATAACACAGGAATAAAAGTTTAGTTGTTTTATATGGATTTATTAAACAAAGTAACAACTAATTAGATCCTTTATTATTTGAGAAATAGTATATAAAAAAAGTAAATAATAACTAATCACATACATATTTTGAGCAGAAGAATAACTTGCAACAGGTCATAGTTTTGAGTAGGACAATTTCTACAAGTAATCAATCAATAATAGAAGATCACATTAACTCTATCTTGAAATCAGAGGAATGATATATAGGCTTTGGGTGGAAACTGTGGAGGGAGAGAGATTTTCCCACATTAGAAGTTACCACATGGGTTCAACTTTTTCTCATTTCCAAATATGAGAATAGAAGACCATCATTGCAAGCCTATTCCATAGGCAGATTCTCATAATTCACGATCAAATCTTACTCCATATGATTGCCAAAAGACCGTTTTCTAAATGTATTACCACTTAGACCAATAGAAACTCATAATAACATGAGCACAGTGATGATGTGCCCAAAATCCTTACTTAATTAAGACAAAAGCAGCTAAAAAAGAAAACCAAAAGGAGATTGTTATGTGGAAGAAGCAGAAACATATGGGAGTGGAACTAACAAAAGACATAAAGCAAAAACAAAACCAAATACAAGACCGAAAAGCAAGACACACGTATAACCATTGTCCTTTCACCATTTCACACAGGCAGTTTCTGCTTTGTTTTCACTGAACTCTCTCTCTTTATTTATCTCTCTATATATCTCACTCCTTTAAGTCCAAAGCATTTATCAAACGAATTTTCTTTTTCCTTCAAAAAGTTACCATGGCTTCTGAGCACAACATTTTCCATGAGGAAGAAGGAAAGGATGAAGCCGGAAGAAGTAGAAGCAGGAGCAGGAGGACCAATGGGAAGGGTCCAAAGAAGCCACCCCAGAGAGGTTTAGGTGTGGCCCAGTTAGAAAGGTTGAGGATTCAAGAGTCTTGGAAGAAGATGAGTGAAGGGTCTTCTGGAGTACTACCAGTAACTACCCTCCATGATCATCATCAACAACAACAACATTTTCAGTGCCACCCTCCAGCCTTTGCAAATGGGGGTATTCCTTTGAGGTGTGGTGCACCATCAGCAAACCTTGGCTTTCAGTTTCAATGCCCTCAACAACAAGTGATCAATGGAAACAACACTATTGGTGGGGGCTGGATAGTTCATAACAGGGTTGTTGGTAATGGTTCCTATGGATCTGGGCCTCCACTCTTGGTTGGAACCCCCCTTGAGACCTCGAAAGAGCTCTCTTCAATTCCAAATCTCCATTCTCAACCTGAATGTTTTGATTTTTGCCTCAAGGTATACACTACTAAATTCAACACCATGGCATGTGTAGAAATAAACAAATAAATTATATGTTAGGTCATTAATTTGGATGCTAACAAATAGCTTTTCTCATTAATGGCTTGTGATTAAAAATATGTTTTGTCTAACACTTGTTTTAATTTCTGTTGAATGTTGATGATGATCTGTTGAATATTTCTATTCATGGTTTGTTGAACATTCTTGTGTGTGCATATGTGTATACGGTTGTATTTTTCTCAGAAAACACGTTTCAACGATGACAATGAAAAAGGATCAAATGTAAGGAGAGAGAGGACTTTGGAGATATGGCCCAATGACCATGATTTTCTCGGATTTATGCCCCAATCTTCTGTCCCAAGTCTTGTTGGGGAAACCAGTGATTTCCATAACAAACTGGCCAGACATGAATCTGCTTGTGCTACTCCCATTGATGAGGTAGATTCATATCTATTTGACTATTTCATGATGGTTGTTGCTACATGTTTAATATAACATTATTCCTTAGTGTAGATAATTTTCTTAGAAAAAATGTGTACATTTTGGAATTAAGATTGTATAATAGCTGAGTTTATAAATTGGTTGATCCTTTATTGTGTTAGTGTGTGGAGGTTGTTGCGGTTCACAGGAGGGGAAACTCAGCAAATGGCAGGGTTTTCATGGAATATGAGTTTTTCCCAGGAAAAGATGGCAGAAGCACTACTTCCAAGGAGCTGGAATTGCCCACAGTAAGATCAGTTGCTGTAGGTGGTGCTGAAGCTTCTTCTATCACTGCTGCAGCCTATGGAGATTCTGCTTCTAATTATATTGATTTGTCTCTGAAGCTCTCCCGCTAGAAGCAGATGTAGTGACCCCCTTTTTGGTGTTTGCTCAAGTACAACTTTTATCTTCATTTCCTTTTGTTGTTAAACTAATACTAAGCTCACCAATTCTATGTATCTCCTCCTTCGGAAAATCCCCTCTATGATTCTATCCCACCAAAGATTATGTCCAATATCAGACAATTTTATTTTTATCACAAAAGTCATTCTTTTTATTATATTTATATAAATTAAGACTTAAATGAAATTGTTCAAATGATTAATATTACTTTAATTCTTAATTTATCAATCAAAATTTCTAAAAAATAAATAAATATTTTATTTGATTTATAATTATTATTTTAATTGATAATTATTTATCATGTTTTAATTTTAGACCCTTAATATTTTAGAATGGTAGATAAGATATAATTAAATACTTCTCAGATTAAAGATTATTTTTAAAAAAATTATCAACCTAAATTTAAAGATAATTTATAACGCATAATAAAAAAAATAAGATCTATTTTTTTTATATAAATTAGATATAATATAAGGAATTACGTATGGAATTGAGTATATAATAATCCATTATAGAAGCATTAATAAAATCAATTATATAAAAATTTTGTGCGCCCATTCACACCAACACTTATCTTTGTTATCAATCATGTTAATCTGTTGAAAAAAATAATAATAAAAATAATTAAAGTATTTGGTATTCACAAACTATGAGAAAGAAGAGAAGAAAGATAAGTCATAAAAATTATGTACCAAATATGTAACCTTAAATTTTAGGGCACACAGGAGAAAACTATAAAAACAAACATTATTAATATATATAATTTTTAAACCGCTTTGCACAATAATTAATTAAAAAAACAATTTTTATTAAATAATTTAAGAAAACTTGATAATATTTTTTTCTTACAACTTTTAAATATTTTGAATATATTGATAGATAATATAATAATATTTTATATAAAATTAATTAATTATTTGATCACATTAGAATTTTTAATAATCACTACAAGAAAAAACGGTATTAGCGACCGAAAAAATCGATCGCTAATGGCCAAAAATCGGTCGCTAATCTGTTAGCGACCGAAATGGTTGGTCACAAAAGGGCAAGTCGCTAATATGTTAGCGACCGATTTACATTTCGGTCGCTAAATAGCGACCGATGAGGTGGTCGCTAAATAATTTGGTCACTTATTCATTGAAGACCAAAATAGCGACCGAAATTAATATAATAAATTGGTCGCTAAATCGGTCGCTAAATCAGTGGTAATGTTTTAAAAAATAGCGACTAATATATTCGGTCGCTAATATATTAATATAATTATTTAAATAATAATTAAAATCGGTTACGCTAAATCGGTCGCTAAATGGGAGACAAAGTTAAAAATAATAGTGACGGATATAATCGGTCGCTAATATATTAATTGAATTGTTTAAATAATAATTTAAATCGGTCACTAAATCGGTCGCTAAATTTGAATTGTATATTATAATAAATTTGTAGCGACCAAAAATTCGATCGCTAAATCGGTCGCTAAATTAATAACAAAGTTAATTATTTTTATTTATTTACATTTTTAATTATATCAAGTTCATTAGACAACTTTTTTTCTCCAATTGGACACAATTGTGTTACATAATGAATGCTTAGTAGTTAGTAGTTAAGATGCATTCTCATCCATGAAATGTGGACCAATTTGTCATAAACTTAAGATTTGAGAAACATTTGCAAATTGAAACTGCCAACTAACGATGATGAGAAAAGATTTCTCATTGCCAAGTACTACTAAATGAAACTGTTACACTTAAACACTGCTATACACATAATTGCCTTTTTTTATATGGTAACTCTAGCACAATCTTAAGAGGGTGTCAATATTGTTTTCTGTGGACTTAAGACTATATTTCAATTGTAGAAAATGCATATATACCAAGAAAGGTGAGACACAATAAAGGTGAACAAAAAAAAATAGTATCATAGTAGTGATACATTTCCCTTCATAAAACCGATTTGTTACGTCGCTTCTTTTGTAGTGTTGAATGTGCCCGTGCTTTGATCCCATATGTCTTCAATTGAAAATTTTCAAAAGCCTCTCGAAATTGTCTGCACCTATAGGATTGCACAAAGCAATATATTAGTGAATCCAACCTTGAATGGGTAAAGGAAAGAAGTTTAAACATGCACGGGATAACTAACCAGGTTCGACCTTTTTGGAGTACACCTTAACTATCATATCTTGGTAAGATATATGTAACAAGTGGCTTACACGATCATCGGGTATTGTAAATTTCTCATTGCTTTCATAATCCTGAATGCATTATTGAAACTAGGTAACTCAATACAGCTAGCATAATTTAATTCCAAACTAAGCACCAATAATGGGCCAAACTAAACCACTTTAAATATTTCAATAATTTTGAACAATTGCAGCCCGAGTATCCCAACGAAGTAATATAAAACAGTTTAAACTAAAACTTATTAGCAAGGAAACTGTCAAACTGCATAAGGTAAGATGTTTAATAGTGCAAAAAAAGATATAATCCACTAATACAATATAGACACAGGCAAAACCAATTAATATATAAGAAGATTAAAGAAATATCTTGATGAAAGATAGTTAGGTAGGTTTGGCGATGTACCTTGAAAAAGTGGATGCTGCCACGAAACATGCACCATAAGAGAGAAAAATAATGCATTAGGATAACATTATAGTAAGTTAAAACAAACTAAATGTATATGTTCAACAAGCGTGATTATTCTTCATTGAATACCTTTCAAGAGGATTATGATTTCCACTAGTCAAATCAATTTTGACGTTACAAACAACTACATCCTCCTCTTTCGGAGTAACTCCACCACTCTTCCGCGAGATACATATATAAAACAAAATGGAATTAGAAACTGTAAAAACCAAGAATGGTAAGTTCATGGATATTAAGTAGACAGGTAAGGAAAAAAAAGGCAGGTATCTACATCTACCTAAAATTCAATAATCTTCTTAACAAAATGAACATAGTTCATACCTTCACTTTTGGATGTGTATAAACTGTTCTATACAGATAAGAACGAGTGGCAAACATTTTGTGGATGGTAAGGTCTAGTAAATTACGCAGCCAACATGAAAACTACAAATTCAGGAAAAAAAACTAAACGGAAATAACAGTATAAGACCCAGAATCAAACAGGAACCCCATTCAACCAATAGAGGTAGTCAGTTTGACAATTCATACGAAAATAAACCAGACCCACACACAATTCATCCTTAACCAAGGAGAACAATCCACAGTAAAAAGGCATAAAAGAAATAGAACATAGCGGCAAAATGTGAACCGAAGCCCTTGACTCGCGACCCCTCTGACTCACCTCTAGTTCGCGGGGAACTCAATGGCACGATTGGGGCAACTGAGGCATGGAAAGACCTTGATGGTGGAGGTTAGGTTGAGATTTAGGGATGGCCACGATGGTGGCCAGGAAGGCGGTGGTGATGACTGGGGTTTGGGGGTCCAAACAACAGGTGTTGGGGTGCAGTGCTCACGAGAAGCGCGGGGATTCGCGATGGAGCGGTGGCTCATAGGGTGGCGTGCGGTTGACGAGGAGCTTTGGTGGAGGTTGGATTAGGGTGAGGGCTGACTTGGGGGGAGCAGTGAGGGGGCTAGGGCTCGCCGAGAGTGAGGAGGAGATACTGGCCAAGGTTAAGAGGAATGGGTGAGTGAGGCGCGAGAGTTAGGGTTATTTGGGGATAAGTGGCGCGAGATAGGAAAGTCAAAAATGTGGTTATATATGATAGCGGTTAAATCTTAACCGCTATTATAATAGCCCTTCTAATAGCGGTTAAATCTTAACCGCTATTATATAGCACGTCTAATAGCGGTTAAATCTTAACCGCTATTATATATTTTCAAATATGATCGATCATTTGAAAATGTAATCGATCATAACCAAAAAATGTGGATGTCGCTCGAGCGAGATAGTGTCGCTCAAGCGAAAAACAACCCGAGAATGCCAATTTTGTGCAGGTGGCGTCGCTCGAGCGATACTAGTGTCGCTTAAGCGAAATACAACCCGAGAATGCCAATATTGTGCAGGTCGCGTCGCTCGAGCGATGCTATTTTCGCTTGAGCGAATGTTGACCTGCGTAAACGTCGATCAAAGTTAGCCGGAAATGTAACATGGGAGACCTCACATGTTTGAATCGGATGTCGCTCGAGCGAGTATAGTGTCGCTCAAGCGAAATACAACCCGAGACTTCACAATCTTAAAATATGGTTGTATATGATAGCGGTTAAACTTTAACCGCTATCTAACATACACTTTAGATAGCGGTTAAAGTGGAACCGCTATTATAGCCTCTCAATTATGATCGATCATAATGACAACTTACATTAACTATTTTTTTGAATATTATGTTTTTAAATTTGCTATTAGAGAAAACCTTTCGGAATTCAAAATGTTAAATACTTTTAAATATTAAAATTAACTTTATAAAAAATTAGGAAAAAAAATTAATCCAAAAGAGTTCAAAAATGTATTATAATATTCTCAATTTTGAGTTTTATTATATTGTTCATTCTCAAAGTAGAAAAATTTATTGTAATTATTTTAATTTAATAAAATATAATTTCAATTTTTAATACTAAAATTAAAAGATTAAATAATAATGAATTTAATTCTTTAAATTGAGTATTTAGAAACTAAAATTATAGTTTCTCTCGTTTTAAATAATTAAAATAAATAGTTAAAAATAAAAATCAAAACTAGTATTATCTTCAATTTATTAAAAGTGTAATTATATCTCTATTTTCTTAATTTTTTTTGTTTCAAACTTCTCAATTCTACATTTTTTGAACTTCTATCATTATATTATCATCCTCATCTCCTCCCATGTTCAACTTTATCTTCACAATAGTTAATATTCTTAAATAATCTATATTTTTAATTATAATTTTTTAATATATATTTCAGAAATTAATCAATTATAATCTATTATTTGAAAAACTAATCAATTCTAATCAAT